GATTCTTGAAAGTGAAGTCCAAAAAACCCATAGAATCACAGAATATCTCAAGTTGGAAGGGACCGATAAGGATCATCAAGTCCAACTCCCAGTGGAGGCAATTTGAATCCTTTCCACAACCAGAAAAAACCAGCTACTTTAGGAAAGACTCCCGGAGTAATTTGGGGAATTATTTTTGAACCTCTTACATTTCAGAAGATGACAGCATTTAGAAAAGGCAGGTACAGTCTTCTTCTATCAACCTGAAGGTTTCTTCTTGACTTTATATTGGCTGAATGATATTGTCTTCTCTCTAGATCACAAGAAATCCACCAGCAAATTCTCAGTATAAGCTTGGTTCTTGTTGCGTTGTGGATCTTTTTTCTGAAGTTTGTTAGTGAACTCTCCTCGTTACTCTGATGTTTATAAGTAAGGGGCCCCGCCTGAACCAATGACCTCAAGCTCAACATGAAAAGTCTTTTGCTCTGAAGGGACAGCAGTTTCCAATACTGATAGCACTCTGTGATCTTTTAATTTTTGAACTGATTTAGTGAGACTGTGGTAGGAGAAAAAAAGAAACAGAAAGGAGTCCCTAAAATTTAATCTGCTGCAGGAACCAACCAACCAAAGAGTTTCCATAGGCCGGAGAATCAAGCAGATATGCTATGTACACCAGAAAGGACTTTGGTAGACTAAGGATAAGAAATGGCGCAACGCAGTAAGGGAAAGTGTTCACAACACGTGCCAATGTTGTATTGTCCTGTGAAAAGGGATTTCTGTCTATGGAGTTGTACAGTTAGTAGATAGAAAGGCAGTGAATCAAGCTAAAAAGAAAGCAGGCATATAATAGTTTGTCTAGAGTTTTGGAAATTTACTGCCAGTTCATCCAAGTACACAAAAGTCGACCCTTTCTCTGCAACTATCTCACTAAGTTGACCTTCACCACAAACTTAGCCTCAGCCACCTTTGTTATCACAGTGTAATCACAATCTTTTTCAAATCATCATTTTGGTACTGCAGATATTCAGGTCTGATTTTTAATCACTGACATATTAAGCATCAGCAAAATAGTTTGCTTAGCTGTTCCGCTGGCAATTTTTAAAAAGGAATGAAAACATGTACCTTTTGATTACCTTGTTAAAGTGAGTCATGATGGCATTATAGCAGTGCTCAGTATTTCTGCTGTAATTAAGAATCTGTCATATTTTTCATTAAAACACATTCTTTAAAATGAGACTTTTAACTTGGTCATTTCAATCAGTACCTGCCTGAAGTGTAGCATGCGACGTGCCCACTAGATAAAGAAAATGACATCTGAAATTTGCTTTTGCAAAATGTAAGTATTAAAGTGCCCATAACATGCACAATAATTTACATATTTTATACGCACATTCTCTGTGTTTTAACTAAAAAGAGCTTTCTCTTTTTAAAATTAATTTTTGCAGGTTTTCACCACTGCTCCAAACTGTAAACCATGGTATGTAAACATCAGAGCAAAAAGAATTGTTTTCAAATAGAAATAAATGGCTATTTACAAGGCACACAAGTAAAACTTAACTTTTTTTGTTCTGAATCAAACTTTCTACATTCTGTAAATTAAGTTACTAACATCCTGCACATGTGAAGCAGAATTTGATGTTTTCGAACATTTAAGATTTAGAAGTTTCTTATTAAAAAAAAAAGAATCTAAAAGGGCTTGGGGATTTAACAGGAGCTGATTGAGAAAAAAAGCTTGTGCAGAAGACAACAGAGTCAATAGGAAAGGAACTGGGGTAAATGCATAATCAGTGTATGAACATGGCATCTAAAATTCTCTAGCATCTACTGGTTTGACATGAGACTTAAAACAGGTAATCTAAGACTGAAATTACTCTAAACATTCTCAATGCATGTGTTTCAAGTAGTAACAATACTTTGCAGAGAATGTCTTTTACATACAAATTCTTTTTTCTTTTTTTTTTAAATTTATTTTGTTATTATTTTTCATCAATACTGGACCTAGTTTTGCTAGGGCTATTTCCATGATAATGAATTAGTTTGTCTAAGAGGTTTTTATACAAACATGAGGGCACTGTATTGCTGCAATGAAATATGTCAGGGTGTCGTATGAAGTAGTTCTACCACTCAGGTAGTCAGGGAGGGCATAAAGTCATTGAGAATGACCTGGTCCCAAATCTGACTAGAATCACTGAAATAATATTGGTTTCATGGAAGAAGCTGTGCAAAAAAGTAGATATTCGTAATGTACAACACCTAATTCTTAAAAGAAATCATAGGAAGTAAACAATTTTTACTAGTATCTTTTTTTTAGTTGATAAACTAATTAACTATCTAGGTTCAGTAACACACAGATGGGGCTACATCAAGCATCCACGAACCAGAAAATTTATCTTAGTAAAAAAGGCAGAATAGGACTGTCTCAGTACTGTCGGCTCCTAACAATCCATACCTATATTATCTCCCATTTTCTTCATTGCTTTTCAACACAGCTTTTCTTCACCTTTACAAATGACATTTTTGAAACTATAAAATGCTCTGTGCTGCTCAAACTTTCTTGCTTCAATAGATTCTCATTGCTGTACAAGTAAATCTACATCCTTTGTTACTAATATACACAAACCTATTGGTATGTGACTTTGACTCCAGGCTGAGAACAGGCTATAAATTTAGAAATCAATATCTAACTCTATCAATATTCATTTTACTTTTTCAATACAAAATACAAAGGTGAAAGAGCAGTAAATAAGCTGGAGTACTGAAATAAATTGGGTGTTCTTGTCACAATTAATAAATGTTTAACCAATAACACTGCTTGCTACAGAAGTCTATGGCTTTGTAAGGTGCCTGAAAGTAGCAGGTGCTACCTTGTGAGACTCAAAACCAGAGAACATATTTCAATACTTCATTAGGATCACCAGTCATTCTCTTCAGTAATGCTGAACCTAAACATATAAATGACCATTTTCAACACTGTGCAGAGTGCTACAAGAATTAATTTACCAATGTAATCTATTCAAAAAATGCAGATGAGAATTTTGAAAATACTTTTTTCAATGGATTGGCTCACATTAAGTGAAACTTTGCTAATTTGCAGCACATATAGCTCAAGAAAACATTTGCAGTTAATGATTCATTTATAGACAGCCTTTCAGGTTTCACTACGATGTTAAATATGGACAATTATTAGCAGAATGCTTCTTTTCATTTCCAACTTTTGTTCATGTAAATACACAACTTTTGTCCCTTCTTTCTTTCAAGAAAAAAGTTTACAAGTTCTTCTACATAAAATCGAGTCCTTCTGTTCCTATACTGAAAGGAGAATAATCAAATAGTGATCTTTCATTTTAATCCAAATTTCCAAAAAGGAAACCCTGTTTCTTTCATAAAATGGTATGAAATACTGACAAAGACAAACAAACAAGGCCTGTGATGGATAAACAGTAAGTTAGCTGTGGGAAGGTTAGCCTTTGAGAAAAGTGTAATAATTTAAAGTGTTATGCATTATCTACACGTACGTACAAGTTTACTCAAAGTTTACCAAAGTTTCTAGTTGCTTAAAAATTTACAATGATAAAATGCAGAACACCCCTCCCCTTTTGTAAGACCACAGAAAAAATTCTCAATCCTCCAGCCCAGAACAAAATTGAAAAGATTACCTTGAACTTGAAGAGAAAAAAAACCACACGTTAGTTAAAAGGTACCTCATATGATACCTTTATCCACCATTATTCTCTGTCACTCTCCAGTAAAGGCAAATTTTGGGGGCAAAACAATCTCTAAAATTGTGACTATATAGATACATAACATTGAATGATCACATAATATATTTGCCTTAGTATCAAAATATTGGCTTTGCAAAGTTATGCAGAGGAGTCAGCTAGTAAAATAAAATACTGAACACTGGAAGCCCAAGGTAAAATGAATAATAAAATTAATTTCATGATACTTCATACCCTCTCAGTACAAAATGACATCCTCCAGTACTTGCAAGTTGTGAAGTGAAAATCACCTTGTAGAAATAATTATTCTCTCTTCAGCCATTAAGTATTTTTCTTTCTCACTTCACATATGTTCAGAGTCTTAGAAGCTGACCCATACATTCTCTTTTTCCATACTGCTGCCACTAAGGTGCTTTAACAACATTTCTAATATTATTCTTGGTCTGTTTCTGCCACTGAGGTTTGAAACAAAGAAGTTTCAGGAGGGGGAATTCAGTTGGAATACAAATATTAGGCTTCTCTAAAGACATCTATTTAGAATATATTTGAAGAACTGTGTTGCGTATGTTGCTATAGTAATTGATATATGACTAGGACATGCAATGCAGATTTCCATATTAGCAATACATAAAAAACCTCACACAGGCACACACACACAATCTAATCCTTCCAGTATGCACATATATAATTAATACAACAAACTGATGAGAGTCCTATAAATCACTGCTAAATATTGAAAAAGTCATTTCACAGCTGTGACATCAGCAAAATGCATCCAATGGTTGTGACCTCGCATCTGTAAAAATCTTTCAGAAATGTGCTTGCAAGTGCTTCCTATTTAATCTATGGCACTAATTTTAAAGCTGTGTTTCACAGCCTTATCTCCACATTTTCAATTGTTTGCCCAAGAATTCACATCCTATCTTTATTTTGCAGGATTTTTATAGTATTCGTATGCATTCCTCACAGAAAAAAGGTACCTCATGTCTTCTACCTGGTAATGCTTGAACAGACATAAGCAGTAATCTTTACTGTCTATGATTCTCAGTATATGAAAAAAGATTTATTCTCTTTAAAGAAGTGCCATGCTACAAAGGACTAGAAATTAGAAATGTTTGAGGGAGAATTAAGAGAGCCTATTTATTTCTTAATCCCTATTAATAAATAAGGATAGCACATATCTGAAGTTATATGGAAAGTTACTGAATTTATCAAGCGTTTCCCCAGGTCACTGACCTACTGCTTTGTATTTAGAGATTTAACATCTTGTGTTTTGTGTTCTGTCCCAGGGAAATTGGTTACCTGTGGGTCCTGGCAGGGGAGCAGCTTTCCTTCTCCGTTTGATGTCTCCCATGCACAATGATCCTAAATGTACACTGGTTTGCCTGCAAGTAATTATAGGAGAAAACTATTAACAAAGGAAGAAAACCACCGCATAAATACACAGCTTGTATAATCTGAACCTGTATCAAAACATTCTCAACCAAGATGAAGCTGCACAGTGAAGCCACCGATCTTGTTTATATCGAAGCATAATTATGTTTGTTGACAAGCGCTCAGTATCTAAATGCAGCATCATAAATTGTTACTGGAATGAATAATATAAAGGGAATGCTTTTTAATTTTCAAAACTGGCAATCTTTCTAGCTCAACATAAAACAAAAACACTGTTGCTCTTGACAGGAAAATAGCTAAGATTAATTATCTAAAGAGATCACAATACTGTTGGTAGATTATCAATTGGCTAGTAATGCCTGACTGTCAGAACAACATTTATTACATGAAAAGTATTATCAATTTTTTTTAAGGTAAAATGAAGAATGAATGAGAAAACATGAAACAGTAAACTCTTCAAAGGTACATGAAATAAACTTGTAGCACACTAATTTGTCATCTTCTAATTCACTGGCAAGTTGTGAGAATGATAACACGGAAGCACAGTATCTGGTATACTCACTAAACAATTACGAGCTTACACTTGGAGACCAGAAAATTGGTGGAGCTACAGAGGATGGCAAACAAGCAAATCTTATTGCTATAAGAAGTCAGATACCACAGAAAAGGGTAAATTTGGAATTTCCAAATATTGAATTTTGGAACATAATCTTAAAGGACAATTATAGTTATTATTTTTCTTAAAGTAAAAGTACAGTGCCTGTAGAATGGAATATATGTAGCCGGCATTTTTTTGGAAAGAGCTAGAACAGAAGAGGGGGAAAAAGCAGTAATTTCTAAACTTCACAATTTTAATATGTCTCCATAAATGTTACTCAGAACTGTGATTCTTACTACAGTGGTGTAGTGAATTTTGCTAAAGTTACAAGCTGAGAATTGCATCTGATAGTCTACTGTAGCATAGTAACACTGTCACTCACGGGATCTGGTTTCAGTGTGGATATGTGACTTATCTTTTACTGCATTTATAAACTTTTTAAAGCTGTGCTGCTTCTAAATGAGTAACAAATGGTCATATAATGTTGAGAGACCTCAGATCTGCTCAGTAATGTAAAAGAGTGACCACAAGGCCTTGATGAAAAAGACAATGTACAATCCCCTACATACTTTTAAAAAAATACAGTAAATTAACAAGTACTGCAGTGCTTTTATTTAAATAGTAAAATATTCCAAGAAATTTGTTTCACACAGAAATGTACTCTAGCTTCCCCTAGTGAACCCCTATTTCAACACTTATTTAATTCTGTTTTAAAACAGATGTTTTCCTTGCAATTCTTCTAAGTTGAAATTGCGTCCTATTTTAACATCCAGAATCTGAACACAGTTGAACTAGTATATTAACACGGTGATAAATTTCAGTTCTACATTTAGAAAGACATCAAGAAGTGTAAGCTTTTCATAATTGACTGTACAATAAAGAAAATTAATATTTTAGTACAGTATGGGGAAACAATTATTAGAGAAAAAATATTTGACAGATGTATATAACATTGATATTAAACACGCAGAATAAGTTGTGTGGTAAATTACATGTTAAACAGTGTGCAACTCTCCATTTTCTCTTCCGAATGAAAAAGGGAGAAAGTCATCAGGAATACAAGTAGGATGAAAGATAAAAATTAATAAAGTCAGGCAATTGAACCTGAAGACCTGAGCCACAGCAGTAACAGCTAGCAGCATTTGAGTTATTTTGGCCAGAATTGATTATCTGTTACACTACATTGAGATATCTAAATTATTGATCTGTAAGATTATGGTACTGGGGTCTCCCCCACTTTTCCTCCAGGCGCACGGAATGGAGTTGCAACAAATAACACTAAGTAAGGACTACTTTGTTATTGTAGTCACCCTTCATGTAGAACATAGCAGTTACTTTTTAATTTAAAATCAATGAACGTCTGAAAGGCAGCCTTGTTCCTTCAACATAAATGAATCATTCGCCTTTGCCGAGCACAACAACCCGATCGCCAGCCAAGGTGAGAGTGGGTATTTCTTTGTTGTTGTTGAAAATTCTGTATGCCACAAATAAATAATGATATGCTAGAGCACCAATTAAGCTTTGTCAAACCTGGTGTTATGGCCACTAACATCAAACATTAAGCTAACTCTCGATTCTAAAGCGGCATTTACTTTCGCCAGGTCTTAACATCTGATATGCACTGTCAATGTAGATCACAGCAAAACAAAAAGCTTTATTTTATTTTTTTTATTTTTTTAAGAGGAACAGACAAGAACTATCACTGCTCTGGAACTGGCAGGTTAGACAAAATGAAGTATTATTCTGAAGCTGCACAGTACATTTTGAAATGCTTGTAATGGGGGTATTATAAAGTAGGGAGAACTCTGACCCTCAATCAGGCTAAGTTCAGCATTATGTTTCTTAGCATTAAATCAGAAGAGCACGGATTACAGAAGGGAAGAAAGCTATTTGCCTGACTTCTCTCTACTTACCCCTAGCTTGCTTCCAGCTATCATTTATAAATAGTGCTCTGGAGGGAAGCTAGGCATTTTATTATGGAAAAAATAAAAATTGTTAAGACCACCTTGCCTGAAAACTTGGCTTTTGACGTGCTGGTGACAGGGACTGGAGCAAGCAGTGTCAAATGGAATAATTTTTAAGGAAAGACAACAGGAACTTGTCGCCTCATTGTATGCATTTACAAATAGAGGCTTTTCGGAGTATTAGGTCTAGTTAAAGCTGCCCTCTGGATAAAAAGTGTTCCCAAGCAGCCTCAGACAAGCTTGGGAGACAAACAGATGTGACTATGGTCCCTGGCGTTTGGCAAGAACACTCACTGTCAATAAGAAAAATATGAGCATGGACAGGGCATCAGCTGCACCACGGCCGAGCAGGCCTGCAAGTGTCATAGCAGCGGCAAAGTTGTGGCAGAGGGAAATAAGAGGGCTGCAAAAGCCAGGCTGGTGTGAACTTACACTAGCATGCCAAGAATTTTTTTTGTTGTTGTGTCATGCCTCAACGTATTAAACAAAAGCACTAGAAACGCCACTGTCAATTTTTATTCATTTTTCATCTTGCTCACTGTGTTTAGATTCTCCATTCTATGTGGGAAATAAGAGCCTCAAAAATGAAGACAGACTGGGAAAGGCAGTAACAACAAAAAAGCTATTGAAATAATAAATAATAAACACAATAAAAAGTAGCTTTGATACAGCAAATACTTTTATAGAAGCAATGTCATGTAAAGCAATTCACAAGCATCTATGCATTCTTGTGACAAACATTCACTCAGACAGAAATTTTGTTATCTCCTTCTTAAATAGCTGCAGTCTCCCTACCGTTTCTTTCTTCAAGGTAATTGCCCTTACTGTGGTAACATGCCTAGAATTCTCTCTTTCAACTCTAAATATTTCTTACACAACAACCACCTCTTTTTCTGTAATTTTCATAGCTCAATAAGCAAATATTTTTGATGAGTGCCTTTTCTGCAGTTACACACGTTCACCTCTCCAAGACATTTGTTATAGGCTATGTCAGATTTTTATCTATCCTGACCTTTACAGTCAATGGACCATTTGGTTACATTCCCCAAATAAACGCCTGTTCTGTGGAGGAACCTACAGCTGCACTGCTTTAATTGCAATCCACCTTTTGAGCAGCTGAGCACACAAAGTGGTTCATAACTCTTTCACTAGTAGTTACCACCTTTGCTGCTATCGAGGTTAGTTCACCGGTCCAAGTCACTGAGGATAATACAATATAAACCGAGTGTAGGACAGCAGATACTCCTGAACACGAGTTCTCTGGTTTATTACATGAGTCTGTAATCACTATCATCCCATGTGTAAGAAAACCGAAAACTAAAAAAACCAAACAACCCCACCCCAAACCAAAATGCAAAACAAGCCCTCCTCTCCTCAAAATTAAAAAATCCTATTCAAATTCAGTAATTGTTCCACAGTCTCTTCAGAAAGACACAATGAAGACAGTGTTATATAGCAGGTAGCTTCATATGCATTAGTACAATGGCCTAAACTAGCAAGACTGTAATCTCATGTGGGGGAGCTCTAGGTGCTAGTTTACTAAAATGTTTACATGTTTATTTTATATGTCTCATTGTAACAACATGTCTGTTGATCGCTTCACTCTGTCTGTCTGCTGTTAGCAGCTGCCACTTTCCTTGCAAGCTGCAATGCGTTATTTGGTATCAGCACAGTTGCTTCTGCTGGTGCACTGTAATTGTGCCGACGGTTACATCACTGAAGGCAAACTTAATTTTGTCCCTTAGTATATTTACTGTCAAACCATTTACCAGACAATACTATGACATTGCTAAGATTACTTGTAAGTAACGAAGGTGATGGTTTTATGTCCTGCTTGTGTCAAAAATGCATAGAAGTACTGATTACTAAAGGCAGATGTGGAAGAGCGTGTATTTTTTGTTTAACAGTATTTATTAAATATCAATACTCTAACTTGGAAAAATCCTATGCTGCATACTATTATGATGCAACAATGTTTTCAAGAAGGCTGATTTCTACATCACAATTAGATGAATCTGTAATGATCAATACTTGCCTACCCATTATATTCCAATTAACATCTCTCTCACCTGAGGAACAAATCCACAGTAAATAGTGACACACCATTCTGCCACAGTATCAATGCATTCCTGCAGATGGCTGTAGAACTCTGCAAGTTTATCACCGCTGAGTGCTTCAGCTAATGTAGAGGCTTGATAAAAGTTTGTAAGTGAACTTCTTTCACAAGAGATTAGAATAAGGCAAGAGTTGTCTGGTTTGCATTTTAGAAGGGACTTGAGAGAATTATTTTGAAGGGGAAATCTAATTGACACTGTCAGTCCTCAGTCTTAAAATATAGATATGAATATGGATATGATTGAAGAGAGAATGCAGTGAGGATCACGACTCACTTTAAGTTTGAAATGACTGGACAATTTCTTATAAACTG